CATCATAAGCCTGCATAAAACAGTATAAAATCTCAAAGACAACATACACAATGACCTGAAGGATATGTGTGTTCATTCAAAGAAAGGTTTTCCTATGAATTAATTAGTAGAAAAGTCAATTTCTGCTCTGCCTCTCCTATGGGGACAAAGAGTGGGTTATCCTACTCACATTCCTGGGGGGGTCATAAAACCAGTGATATCATGATTAGTTGTCATGGTGACCAAGGGGGCCTGGTGTTCAGCAGAAATCCTGGCATCCAGTTTATTGAGTGAGGGGACTGTGATGATTTGTTAATCTAATGAATAATTGATTTGTTAAATCAAATAAAAATTAGTGTGTCAGATTGGTCGAGACGCTACATGCAAATGGTCTGCAAACATCCATAACTTCATATTCTTATTTTCTCTCCTCTTTACTGAGTTAAGCTTTAACCCTTTCCTATACCAACTGTATGTGTGTGTGTGTGTGTGTGTGTGTATGTGTATGTTAGACCAGTTTAAGTGTTTTTGTAGTATGTTAGACTAGTTTAAGTGTTTATGTCGTTAATAAAGTCTTACTTGTATCACACTTGACGTTGTTCATTGTTTGCTCATAACTGGAGTCACTTAATCATGCAGATTTATGCTACAAGCTCTGTGTAGAATTGTACAGTAAGAAAGTAATTTCCCTTAACCAGGAAATTAAGGTTCTTAGAATTGATAGACAGTTGACCCTGAGAGGTCAAGTAAATATCTACAGCGGATCTAAACATTTATAATTAATTATAACTAGTTATGATTAATTATTCATATTTCCCCATGACCTGATTCGCTACAATGGAAACATAGCTACTAACAGTCACACGTGTGTTCACGAGAGAGTGGCTTTCCAGTGGATGATGTGGGACATATGCGTAGCGTACGCTCTAGGGGTGTGAATCGTCACTGGTTTCACGATTCGATTCGTTTACGATTATCATGTCAATGATTCGATTCGATATCACGGATGTCTCATCCTAAGTTTTCAATATTACGGCACATGGCTACATTTTCATATTCATTTTATATCAAATTTATTTTGTGCATTTTTATTAAATGATATAGGCAGGCTACTTTTTAAAATTACAAATTAATAATAAAACAATTGTTAAGAATTTAACCAACTAAATATAGCTTTAAAACATACAAGCAAATAATAAAGTAATAAAGGGGAAAAAGACAATTACAATTGATAAACAAAAAGTACTTGGTCGGAGAGTGCTTTAAATATCGGAAAGCTTACAGACAATCATAGTTATGGGTTTTTATTTTTTCCTTCGAATTATTGCGGTTTGATTATTACTTTTTTTTTTTTAATTAAGAGTGCAAAACATACAACATACGGTGAACACAAAACACAAAAACAGCAATAGAACAGCAATGAAAATAAACAGTGATGACCATCTGACAATAATAGTAGTAGTATTCAAGTAGTACTAGCATGCATAATAATAATAATAATAATAATACTAAAGATGGTGATGATAATACCTTGTGATGACGGCAACAGTAATATCAATAATAATAAAAGTAATGAGAATAATAATAATAATTTAATAACAATCGTAATAATAATAATGACACATACCCAACACATACTACACCTATTCTAGCTTCTGTGTCAATGTTTTTTTGTTTGTTTTTTCCTTTCCAATTCACGGTAAGATTACTATATTTATATGTATGTATGCCTAAGCTGATGTGGTGCATTAAAAGAAGCGTGTGGTGCATTAAAATCAGCATGCGGTGCATTAAAAACATATGTGGTATATGCTGGGTTGTTTGATTATTACTGATGACATCATTGGCAGTGCACAGATCTATTTCGACGTTTTCGACGTTTCAGTCCTGTTCTGAAAACATAACTGACTGTGTTAACATCAATTTCCTATCATAAAATTATTCGGACATGCAAGCGCATTTAATCGCAGCTGCGAGCTTCAGGACAACAAACACAAGGTGCAAGTGAAAGTCTGTCAGTTGCCTTTGTGGGTTTCCTCTAATACGTACCGCATTCCAAACGCCATTAATAAAGGCATATCTAAAGTGAAACACTGAAATAATGACAGGTGGAAGCAAAAACTGTCAAGCAACGTGCATGTGTCTCACAGCGCATATTCTGTGCAATGAAGCCCGCCGCGATTGTCTCTAGCACATACATGTGCCATATGCGGCAAAAAACCAAGCTCAGAATATAAAATGCAAAAATAGTGGGTGCATTTTTTTAAAATTTGTTTTTTTAAAACCATTTTAAGCTAGCGTGACACATGCTTATGCGAATGACGTCAGTAGGCTATAATCGATTATGGTGTTTTACTGCATCGATGCAGAATCGTCCATGTCTGCATCGCGATGCATTAATTTCAACACCCCTAGTAAGCTCTGGTGAAAATATGTCTTTATTTTGTATTTCTAATTCATGACCGGTGTTTTGTTTTGCTCTATTACAGTTTATATAGTTTTAAATATGGATATTATTCTTACACAAACGCATCCCTTCAGAAGGCCTTTACTAACCCTCCAAACCTGTGTGGAGTACTTTTTATGATGAATGAACACTTTATTTTGCTTCAAAATCTCGACCACCATTCACTGCCATTATAAAGTTTGGAAGAGCCAGGACATTTTTTAATATAACTCCGATTGCATTCGCCTGAAAGAAGAAAGTCATATACACCTGGGATGGCTAGAGGGTGAGTAAATCATGGGGTGATTTTCATTTTTGGGTGCACTATCCCTTTAAAAGCAGCAGCAATAAGGCAAAGCAAAGTAAAGCTAAATTGCAATGGTGAAATAAGGTCTCTCTCTGAATGACACTCACAGGACTCAGCTTGTGTTTGCTGTGGCTGCACCTGCTATTCAAGCTACCAAACTCAGTCTGAGAGCTGGACTGTGACGTGCCTTCAAAAAACGGCCTAAAACACACACACACACACACACACACACGCAAAGCCAGGGTCAGAATAAGAAAAAAACTGAGGTGTAGGCAGCTTGCCCGCTCAGTGTGTGACTAAAAAAAGATTTTTATGTCAGTTTATTCCTGCATTTGAGAGTGAAATATGCTGCTTGTACATATTTCCTATTATACAATATATTCCAGAATCTTTTGCAACAGAAACAACACCACTACAGTTATTGGCTACCTCCTTAATTATTTAATCACATCTGTGTAATGCAGAGCAAAATTACTAAATCGATATCTGAAAGTGGGTGCCATAAAAATAAATATTAGCTAGTGAATGCAGTACCGGAGTTTGGGTTTGGGTGTGCTGATAATACTGTCCGTTTCTTCCATGTCTGGGCCACTGTCACTGGGGTTGTACATCTCAAGACTGTCATAGAGCTCATCCAGATCCTCTTCCACATCTCGGATTTGCTCTTGGGACACATGATCCAAACCAAACCCCACCTGCATGCAAAATATTACCAATCAATTACTGATAGATATGAACAATGTACTTGTACAATATCATTTACTGGCCAATATTAGTTTAGAGAATTTTTCATTGATACATTGACACAGAAAGTTTAGAGTATATGCTCTTTTACCCTATTTTTGTATTTAGATTACCTTTCTCATCATATGACGCTTACTTAATGTTAAATCTTTAAAAACACTAATAACACTTAAAGTTTAAGAAAATAAACTAATTAAAAAAATTATTTGGATAAATTAGTAGAGACTTTTTAATATAAGCCACGTACTGGTAATTAGCTATTAAATGAAAATAATGAATCTTATTTGTAATGTCCAAAGTGACCAAATACAATCCTTAAAGACAAATTAGTGAGAGTGGAAGGGAAAAGACCTCTGTGGTTGAATTACACTAAATTTACAGACAGGATGCAATTACCTCATCAGACACTTTGAACCATTTCACCAATGCCATAAGCTTCTGTTTGATGTTGGGTTGCTAGATTTAAAACACAAACACCTTGTTAGACAGAAAACGGGGGAGTCATAAGCAACAATAGCAAACAGACACAAATTAACAGCGTATCTGGCTGAACAACAGCAGGGAACAAAAATAGCAGCGAGCAGAGAGCGAAAAAAAAACGCTGTCACAACAAACACAGAGTGCTGGAGAAGGGACTAGAGGCTTGTCAGCTAGAAGACAAGAGCACACAGGAAAACAACGCAGACTTGTGAAGGCATCTGAGAGGAGGAAGCCGATAACAGTTAATGTGCTCAGAAGCCCCATCCCTAGAGTTTCCATATGACTGCAAAAATTGCAGCAGCTCCTATTGCAACCGCTGCTACATGTAAAGAACATCAGTGGCCTCAGGGAGAAATATACAGTTGGTTAGCTTCCTGACAAAGCCCGAGTCAACATGGAGGCACAGAGAAAGCTGCTCTGGTTCTCTCGAGGTCTGTTTTCCAATCCTGGACAGATCACTTACGTCACTTACGTTAGCTCTGGTGATGGAGGCTGTGGAGGGGAGTTTACGGCGAGGTTTCTTTTTCCTCAGTTCATCCTCGTCATCATAGAGGTACTGCCCAAAAATGACAAACCATGATTAAACCCTCAAAAACCTTACTTGAATAAAATAACATTTCACAGTGATTAAGTCTCTCAAGTGCCAGAGATGAAAAAAAAACACCATTGAAGTGATCCATACGACTTGGGCACTATATTACAAGTCTGTGGCAATATGGATTTTAAAAGAATAGTTCACCCTAAAATAAAACTTTGCTGAAAATTTACCTCAGGCCATCAGAGATGTGGGTGAGTTTCTTCTTAGAAAAGATTTGGAGAAATTTAGCATTATGTCACTTGCTCACCAAGGGATCCTCTGCAGTGAATGGGTGCCGTCAGAGTTCAAACAGCTGATAAAAACATCACAATAATTCACAAGCAATCCACACAACTCCAGTATATCAATTAACGTCTTGTGAAGCGGAAAATCTTTTTTAATTTCAAACAGTTTCTTTCAGCTAAAATACAGTATATAACATTGGTTTCTCCAGTGAAAAAGTTGTCTGATTCAGGAAAGAAATATGCACAGATCAAGCACTGTTTACAAGTGATAACAGTGCAAATTAGTTTTAAACAAATACGATGGTGGATCTTGATGCGAGAGGCCAACATTGAATGGACTTCATGAAACCTAAAGCGATGGTTTAAAATTAAAAATTTTAATGATGGATTTGTTAATTACAAATATGCAGCTTTTCACTTCACAAGATGATGTACTGGATTCATGTCAAGTATGTGTGGGTTATGCTGTTTTTATCAGCTGTTTGAACTCTTATTTTGCGGCACCCATTCCCTGCAGAGGATCCATTGGCAAGTGTTGTAATGCTAAATTTCAATAAATCTGTTCCTATGAAATAAAACTAATCTACATCTTTGATGTTACATGGAAAAGAGTCTTCAAAACACCCATTTTTTGTGTTCCAAGGAAAAATAAAGTCAAATCTGAAACTGCATGTAAGTGATGACAATTTTTGCTTTTGGGCGAACTAATCAATTAAAATCAGGCATTTTTGCTGTCTGCATTTCTTTAAATTTCTTTCCTATCACTGCCCAGAGTGTCTTTTCATGCCACAGATTTTATACTTCTTATCTGATTATATTTTTGCTTTACAAAAGCATGCAGTGCATTTCTTCAGTGATCTGACTTCAGTCTCTGTGCTCTGTTCTAATTCACTAAACGGGAAATAGGCAAGATGGCTGAATATCAAAATCAATCACTTCAATCTCACAAGCCTTACCTGCCCCTGTAGAGGGTCATCACTGCCGTCCTGCTCTGACGAATAGCTTTCCTCTTCCTCCTCAGAGTAATTATCGATGTCTGGTGAACGATCTAAAAGGAAGAAAACAGGAACCATGCAAGCGATTAAACCAGAGCAGGCCTTGCTAAAGAACTTACCAAAAGTGTTCTCAAAAATGTAAAAAAGCAGCCTTGACCTCTTTTTGTAATTTCTCATTAGCTGGTTTAAATTGAAATATATATCAAAGTGTGCAAGTCTCACCGGATAGCTTGGTCTTTGGTCCCTCTGGGTCGATGGGTTGACTGGAGAGAGAATAGACCCTGATCTCAGCAACGGGCACTGGTGTGTCCTTCACAGTCGTGTGCAAGCCCAACACCTGAGCACCTTCGGTAGGATGCTGCATCACCTATGGACAGGACAACAGAAGCCATTAAGGAAACTGGTCTAGTTTACGAACTGATTACAAAACACACATGCTGAATTATTACAGTGCAAATAAAACAAACTACAAAATCTTAGATTAGTTTAAGGTGCTTAAAGGGATATGCAACCCAAAAATAAACATACTGTGATCATTTACTCACCCTAATGTTAAAGGGGTCATCGGATGCCCATTTTCCACAAGTTGATATGATTCTTTAGGGTCTATAACATACTTTGGTTAAAATTTCTCAATGGTAGTGGAAAACCATCCTTTTTACCTTGTCAAAATCAGCTCTTGTTTTCAGCAACCCGTTTTAGTGCATGTTCCTTTAAATGCTAATGAGCTCTGCTCACACCGCCCCTCTCTTCCATAGGGTGACGAGCCGTTCTCATGAGACTGTTTATTTTAGCCTCGGAACTTGCTAACTAGCACGTTGTTAGGAAAGGCGATTTGCAAAGATTCATAAAATAACCTTATACTCACTTCTGTAGGAAGGCTGGATCACGAATGATTCGCGCGAACATAAATGCATTTAGGTAGATCGGAGGATGCATTCCCTTCAAAACAAAGCTAATCCTCTGCGTCTTCAGCGGCTCAGATGTCGGGAGTAAATGACGACTGCTATGTTCATTATTACATCCAACAACAGAGCACCTCAATCGCTTAGAAGCCATTCTTGTCTACTCCTGCTCCGGCGTCGAAACAATGGCAGACTGATGGCAGCTAAGATAAAACGGTAGTGTCAATCAACAATCGTGGGAGGGGCCTGGGTCTGTGTGACATCACACAGACAAGCATCTGAAAATGGCTTGATATGAGAAAGGAGAAAAAAACACTGGGTGGATTTTTAACATTATAGGGTGTTTGTGTACACACTGCCAACACACATTTCAGTTCAAACAACTTGTAAAAATGCATGTCGCATCCAATGACCCCTTTAAGTATGCATTTCTTTTTTCTATGTATCAGAAAAGAAGATATTTTGTAGAATGTTGACTTCCATTCCACTGGCTTCCATTATATGGACAAAAAACCAACATGCTTCAAAATATATTTTGTGTTGACAGATTTTTAATTTTTGAGTGGACTACCCCTTTATATTTAAATATTTTTGCAGCAAAATATATTCAATATATTGTCTGACCTGCTTAAAAAGTCTAAAACACTTTTTGTGCTAACAGACATGTATGTGCTTCAAACTTTTATTCTTGTTGATTTAGAGATTTTTTTTTAAATCAATAATAATGTAACATGACGTGGATGTGCTTTCAACAGTTAGTCATGTACTGAATCATAGTACAAATGCAAATGTCTTGGCATTTATTTGGGCATTAAATTACAGATACAAAATGACCTGTGTGGATTTTTGGTGTATCTGTGAGAAGTTTCATTACTGTTAAAGTGATTAAAAAAAAAAACCTGACTGAAGCATAGAAAGTTGTTCTATTCCACCTCCTACAGCAGCCTTCCATGTATTTTATGACATTTTTTGAAACATTTTCAAACCTGTGCTAAATTTTTTTACTTTACATAAGCAGTCCAGAATCACACAAAAATGTGGCTGAACCAGATCTGTTGGTTTTGCAGTTCCTCACCTCAGCCATATTTATCATCCCTAGGGCAAGGGTCTTATAGCCCAGTATAGTGCGATTCTTGTACCTCTTGCGTCTCTGGAGCATAATCTGAAGCTTGTTGGCATCTCTCTTCAAAAAGTGTGGGTACTGAAGACAAAATGGAAGGACGAGAAAAGACTGCAAAATGTAACATTAACTAGATATAATTCACTATGGGAAGAGTCACTTAGGGACTTATCGTAATATTAAATCTGAAAGTCAATTTAGTTCTATTCTAATCCAAAAGGCACTCAAACACTGCTAACCTGAAGAGAGAAGGTCAGCTGAAGATCAGTCTCAGTAAGGCCTACAGAAGACAGCATGATTTCATTTGACCGCAAAATGCGTTTTGAGCCCTAAAGAGACATTTGCACTCATCAAGTCACCTAAACATAGATTAACAGATTTATATTTGAGTGATGCAAAGCAGTAAAACTAATTTTACCTGAAGTTTAACTGCAATGACCACCGAAGTAAGATCTCGGTCCAGCTCCTTCAAAATCACCAATTTTTTAAGAGTTAGACTGAGAAGTCTGCAAGAGAAAACAAGAGATGCTCAAGTTGCTCTGAGGACAAGTTGCTATGGCAGCTGAATGAATAATCAGTCCCCAAGCTGGCTTATCAAGTTTGCCTCAGAGTTGACATTTTGGCCTTAAATCCCAGATGCAATTTTGGCTGACATTTCACCTAAAATTCCACACAACAATTGCGACCTTTTCGTACTGTGATTGAGAAGTGCCATGATGGTTTTTAATATATGTCATTGTCAGACACAATTACAAATTGAAATGTGCCTCATATATTTCAAGGGATTGATATTTAATGGCCCTCATGTCGTTCCAACCCCATATGCTGTTGTTGTTTTTGCTGTGGAACACAAAAGGAGAATTTTTAAATAATTTACACACCGTTCTTTTTCCATAGTGCCTCTGTCTGTCTAACTCCAAAAAAAATAAAAAATAATAATAATAATTTTTGTTCCTTTTTGGAGTTTGACATCATTATGGATAGCCATCATGGAAAAGCTACACAGAACTTCACAGAAAACTTCCATGATCGGATTGGATCGACATGAGTGTGAGTAAATGGCAGATTGTTCATTTTTGCACTAAACTATCTATTTTATCTATCTATCTATAAAATAAATGGAAAGAAAACAAACATGACTGGAGCTTTAGTATCAATCTAGCATTCTAAGGACAGCTACCAAAGGATCCTGAAATGAAAACCATTTTTCAATTAATCTCTCCACTGCACATAGACAGGACATTTGAAGAGGAAACAGACAAAGAATGCAATGTCCCAAAAACTGAGTTGTCCTCTGATACATCTCCACAAGGTGTGCTGATATGTTTTTGGCCTGAAGTCAAGAACACTGCATTGATGATATTAGATTTAGGGGATAAATCTCAGAGTGACACAGCACACAAGCACTGAGCTCATTCAGGTTCTGTGACGGGTTGTAGATTTACACAATGACAGGGGAACACTGTCATGAATGTTTAATAAATTAGATACACATGCAAAGTAACATTAAATATAATGCACTAATACTATAAATTCCACACACACACACACACACATATACATACATACATATACATACAAGTTTTTGTGCTCTTTGGTTTGAATTTTCTTATTGAATGCTTAAGCCACAGTACAGACAGTATGAAAACTATATACGGTATTACACAATTCGATTCACTATTAATTCATTTGGAAATATTTCAGGTAGGCCTACATGTCTTGCCAATAAAGCATATGCGTCTGATGGCGAGGCGGCTTCCGCGCTGCACGCCAAGGCAGTGCTGCAAGTTTTTCAGGCGAAGGAGGGCGGAGCCCTCACGGCAGAGGCCACTAAGGATCTGCCATTCCAGCAGCAGACAGCGAGATCCAGATCCTCGTCGGCACCTGGCTCTTCCCAGCGGAGGAATAACCCCAGGCTAGCGGCCACAGTGGTAACGGCTAACGTTACTCGGTGACGTCACGCGTTGTGGTCACGACGGACGCATCGACTCGCGGCTGGGGAGCTGTGTGCGAGGGCATGCCAGCTTCGGGGCTGTGGTCAGAACCCCAGAGCCGGTGGCACATAAACCGCTTGGAACTGGAAGTAGTGTTCTTAGCTCTAAAGGATTTTCGGCCCCAGCTAGAACAGCGACAGGTACTGATTCGCACCGACAACATGTCTGTGGTCTCATACATAAATCACCAAGGAGGCGTACGTTCCAGGGCTTTGTACAAGCAAGCAGCGAATCTCCTGCTATGGGCGGACCGTCACTTTCTCTCCATCAGAGCAGCGCACATCCCCGGTCTCCTGAACAGCGGGGCGGACATGCTTTCAAGGAAGGGGATTCCTCAAGGAGAGTGGAGGTTGAACCCTGAGTCTGTGCGGATGATTTGGACCCGCTACGGGAGAGCGGAAGTGGATCTGTTCACCACGAGCGAGAATGCGCACTGCCCGCTGTTCTTCTCCCTGTCTCACTCCCCGCTGGAAGGGGACGCTCTGACATCGCACTGGCCAGCAGCCAGAGTAAAGGCTGGATAGTGGATCTCTGCCATCAACACTGAAAGTCTATGTGGCCGCTATTGCCTCGTTTCGTTCCCCGCTGGGCGGGCAATCGGTAGGTAGGCACGCACTGGTGGTGAGTTTTCTTAAGGGAGCGAGAAGATTGCATCCCCCACGTCCGCCTTCAGTCCCGCCCTGGGACCTAGAGGTGGTGTTAAGAGCTCATTCACAGCCACCATTTGAGCCTTTAGCATCCGTTGATATGAAGGAGCTATCTCTCAAAACTGCACTTATTCTTGCCCTCGCTTCGGCTAAGCGCATAGGGGATTTGCATGCGTTTTGTGTGGACAGTGATTGTATTCGCTTCGGACCCGGTGACTGCAGCGTCACTCTCCGGCCGAGGCCTTAGACGCTCATTGGCTTATCTCCACCTATCAGCTGCGAGCCCGCCTAACAAGCGTCGCTATTGGTTGGGAATTGTGTGTGTTCTATCTTCGCTGAGTGTGTAACTTGTACAGGCTGCTCGTAGCCTCTCTCACGGCGGGATTGAATATCGTTCCCATAACAGAGAAATATATCTGTGATGTCTCGTGAAAGCTCGAGAGGGAACGCTCCGGTTACTATCGTAACCTCGGTTCCCTGACAGCGGGAACGAGACATCACGGTGGTCGCCGTGTTCGCTGCTCGATCAGCTAAGCTGCGTTCAGTATCAGATTCTGACGTAATTGACGCGTACACCGCATTTTATACTGCCTCTCGAGCTCATCAGTATTTGCATGCGATTTGCATACTTTGCGTCAATTGGCCAGTCATCGGACTGGCGGGAGCCAACAGGACTTCAGGAAAGGTTGGAAGGGAAGGAGTTCCCATAACGGAGAAATATCTCCGTGATGTCTCGTTCCCGCTCTCAGGGAACCGAGGTTACGATAGTAACCAGAGCGTTTTCCTTAAAGAAAGTATAAGGCAGTAATCTATACTCTGAACCCTCTCATTTGGTACATTGTATAACATTAAAAGTTAACGAACAAAACAGAGCTCAAACTATTATAATCAACCGTATCTTCTAACATACCTTCTGATGTTCGTGTTCATGTTTATTTCATGCTATAACTTATAGTAATGTAAAATAGATGTCTCAAGACCCCTTGTAATGAGTCAGATCTGCCACACCACATTTAAGAATGTCAAAATGGCATTTATTGTTAGTTTCATTTATTTATTGAAATTTGTAATAAACCTGGAAAGAATTTGAAAACTAAGACTTTATTTCTTCACAGAAGCGCAAAGCTCTTTTCGAGGATGGATGGGACGTGCAGGTTTTTTTTTTTGCTGGGGAAAAAAAAACAGACTAAACTACGGGTGATTCATAAGGTCAAAAGAACCTGCGTTAATGCACTATTTTTCTTTTAGATTGCTATCATCTCGACAGCCCTAAATTCTACACAAGAGATCATTTCTTAAGAAACAGTACTATATGAGTTGCAGTCTGACACGTTTTTCCGCCCCCTTTTTATTGGCAGGATGCAATCTGACATTTGATTTCACTAATTGACTTTACAAAGGCAGTGTGTGTATATATATATATGCATGTAATGAATGCACCAATTTATCAGCCAGTAATTGGAATCGGCCAATACATAGGTGCATTCATAAAAAAATAGTCTCACATTTTCAACTGTTTTTTCTATCAAATTTCTTATTAAGACTAAGAGTAAAGATTTGTATGATCATAATAAGATTCAACAACTGACACATAAATGGAACAAAATTCACAAACATTAGACAAACAGAAATGGAATAATGAGTCACTGAACAGAGCAGGAATCAATATCCAAAGTAGCAGTCAGTATGTGGTGTGTCCTCCAGCTGCTTTAAGTACTACAGTGCATCTCATCTCATGGACTGAGAAATATCTGTGAGTTTTTGCTACGAGATGTTAGGCAACTTCACTCTTCCACCAAGGCACTGGCAACTTCTTGGAACACGTCTCGGGGTACATATGGTCACATGTAGTCTGACATTACAAGGACGATCAGCTGTCCTTCCTGTCTCCCTGTAGCATTGTCCTAGGCCTCTTACATTATGGACATTGCAGTTTATTGCCGTTCTCATGCCTCACTATGGCATGTTCACACAGGTGATCAGGAACCCTGGGCATCTTTATTGTGGTGTTTTCAGAGTCAGCAGAAAGGTCTCTTTAATGTCCCAAGTTATTGGAACAGTGACATTTTTTTTCCTCCCCCTGTAAACTATAAGTGTCTAAAGGACTGTTAAGGTGCGTGTGCAATAATTGTTTATGGTTCATTGAGCAAGCATGGAAAACAGTTTAAACACTTTCTAATACAGATATGTAAAGCTTATTTGGATTTTATAAAATTATCTTTAAAATACAGTATCCCAAAAAAGGGACATTTCTTTTTTTGCTCAGTTTATATACACATACTGGCTTCATATGATACAATAAGATATCTTGACTTGCAAACAGATTTCATTTCTAAGCTACAGATGCCCTTGCATTGCCTAAAAGCAACATCTCATGCTAAGCTAAACAAGAAAAGGCATTAATACATAATAGCAGCTTGAACCCAGTCCTCTCTTCAAAGTGATCTATATTGAACTGGGTCTAATTCACTTACAAGTCTGTCCCTGTGCATTAGAGTGTAACTCTAGAGCACATAGGTAATGAAATTGGGAGAGGAGGGGCAAACCGGACACACATCTCACCTTTCAGTGATCTTACGCAACATTCTAATGGGACAATATGCTGCAACATCAATTTAGGGTTTAAATTCAGCAATAATCTTACTGATGCAGTTGAATGGAAAGTACAAAGTAAGAAATGAAACCCCTAAAACAGTCACAAAAAGCCTTTAAAAGCATTATGGAGCCAGTGTCAAAGAAAGAGACAAGATTAATAATGTCTTCATAGCGGAAATAATGCTCTTTATTCTGAGCGTCTGTCACTTCTATGCTTTTTTCTTCTCTGCTGGACGCTCTTATTGCAATCAGCTCTTTGCTTTGTGGCCATTTTCCCCTCCACTCCTTGCATGAAGCATCCCAAAGCCCCTCCTCTACATTTCTATATCACAATCCCTTCATGAGAGCAATGAGAAATATTCAGAAATAGTAAAGAGCATGCCTCCATATTACTGTGCATATTATACAGTGGAGGTGCACAGTTTAAAGGGGTCCTATTATGCTCTTTTACAAAGTCTTGATTTTGTTTTGTTTTGTTTTGTTGGTTCGAAAAACACATTATTTTTCACATAATTGACATTATTAAAATACCTTTCTCCCCATCCTGGCACAAACGGCTCGATTAGTTCCGGCTTTGATGAAGGTCTGCCTTTCCGAAAAACAAAATGTGTTGTGATTGGTTAGCTGTCTCAGTGCGTTGTGATTGGCGAACAGCTTAGATGGTGTTTCGGTACTCCCACGCCCCTTGCTCCGTCTTTCAACAAAAGCTTTTTGGCGAATCCGGCAGGCACTGTACTCCCTCATGTTGTGGAAGCTGTCCTCAGTAAAATGTGCAGCACACAATAGCAAATTGGGGTTATAATGCTCAGGAACAGAGTTAAAAAATAAATTGCAACCACTGTTTCCATGACATCATCTGCTTTCGGAAGCCCAAACAAAGACGTTTGGTCACTGAGGTCCGGTGACCAAAAGGCAGGCGGATGCACACCGGACGAGAAGCATCACGCCACGTCTTTAAAATTCAATTACATTATTTTCTATGAGTGTAGGCACACCGGCGGCGCCGTTCGGCGTCTGTCCGCGGCGCCCAGCTACGTCATGTTGTAGAAACCAAACGCTGTAGTCCAAACGAGCCGTTTGCTGTAGTTCTTGAAAATGGATTTTTAAAAAACGAAATATCTCCCTTTGGAGTGGACTTTGAGATTTGTAACTTTCTAGATCTTTTTTATGCCCAAACAGTGTTTCCCCTGCCATTATTTTAGGGGGGGGGCGGGAACGGCACCCCCGCCCCCCTGGAAGGTCAAGTTAATTTTATTTAATTATATTTTCTCTATAGCGCCAGGTTACCACAGAAGTAATTTAAAGATACATTTCTTATATA